GGGCCGCGGGCCGCGGGTTGCCGACTCAGGTGCGTACCGCCCACCACCAACCCAGACTCTTACGTGAACATCCTAGTGTTGTATCTGTCGTGAAGTTTTGTTTTTGTTTTTGTTTTTTTAGGGAGGATAAGTTTTCAAAAAACTTAGTGTTTTTCGAATCAGCGAAAAGTGGAGGTGACTGGAGAGTGCTCCGCGTTCAGCCCAGGACTGGAACCCCAGTGTCGAGAATGGCAGTGTGAATCCTGCCGCCTGCAGGCGTGCTGGCGTGCCGACGAGTGCTTTTGCTCTCGTGGCTTTGAAAGCTCTTCCACGTTTTGCCTGGACGCCCATAATCATTCATTCCCGTTAGGCGTTAACTTGGTTCTCTGTGCAGACCCGTGCGAGGACTCCCTGCCCTTCCGTCGGGTTGACACCACTTGCCTTTCTTAACCTGGAAGATCAGCTCTAGGTGAATCCGGAGTGTCTTAACGACCCACAAGTCAAAAGGACTTCCTCTGGCAGACAGTTCGAATAATGCGAAGGAGCATGTGATAAGTTGGGTCACTCTTCTGTTTAACAGCCTTTACGACTTTCTATCCTATTAGGCAGAGTTGAAAATCTTTTAGAGCTCTGTGTGGAACCTCAAAATCTGGCCCCAGTCATTTTCCAGCCTCAGCTCAGGCTGTTTTCCCTTGGACTAGACACACCTCGCGGTCTAGTTCAGTCTCCCAGAGCCAGGTCTTGCTTTGTCTTATTCTCTGTAGTACCCAGAATAGGGTTGTGCACGAAGTAGGGACATAATTAATGCCTACCAAGTATTAATTTTTATGATTATCATCTAAAAGCCTTTACAATCACAAGGCTGCATGAAGCCCCATATAGAGAAGTTAAAAATCAGTACAGATATGGAGATTTACAAGTATTTGAGTAATGATTAACATTGAACAACCATCAATTGTCAATATTGGCAAGGTGTGTTTGAGTAAAGGGTAAACACTTCGTGTGGGGTAATTGGGGATGGCTAGAATTTTGGCTATTACAGGGACTTGATACATTTCACCTCTTTCCATGAACCCAGTTAGAGTGATTGATTGCCAACATCCATTTTACTCCAAATATTTAGTCTTAGCTTTGGCCAATGGACATTTGACCCGATCTTTGCCACCAAAATGCAAAGGGTGTGGAGGGTGACTCTGGGAAAGATATTTTCACTTCTAAGAGATACAAAAAAGACATCCTTTTCCCTTTGGACGTCGCCGTATCCGGACATGAGGCCTGGAACTGCATGAGGAGAGCCAGTAAGACTGCAAGGCCAACACGCTGAGGACAACAGAACAGAGATGCAAAGAAGTACAGCCTTTGCAAAGAGGACATTCTTGAGGCCAACCCTAGAGTCCACTCAATCTCTGATCTCCCAACTGTGAGACAAATTTTCCGTATTGTTTAAGCCAGCTTGAGTTAGGCGAGCTGTTCTGTAACATGCAAACTGAAAGCATCCTGATTTACCCGGGCTGACTACTTGGTAGAAAGTTAAGATTTTTAGATGTTTGGTAAATCAAGGAGAAACAACCTAATATGGGAATGAGGAAAGGTTTCTAGGCAGGCAGTGCAGCTTGTTGAGAACACTGGAGCAAAAGAACTTTGTCACAAGATCTTAGAGGGGAAAAAAAAAACTGTTGACAAGCCTAGGGAATCCTGAAAAACTTTCAAGTAGGTTGCAATTCATTTGGTCCTGGGAACCTATATCAAAACTTTGAAGAGATATATGAATGGATCAGATAAACCAGAGAAGATAACTATAGCATAAGACTCAGGTGGTGGAGAAGGAAGAGCTTGAATAACAGAGTTTTGTTGGGGGAAAAATCCTTAGGGTCTGGAATACTGATGGAATCAGCAATCTTCCCCAAGAGCTCAGCAGCACACTCTAAGCCTTTTCTGTCTGGAATGTGTTCCTTGTCCTGAAACATGGGAGTCCAAGGAATTTGAGAAACGTGTCCCTTGGCTTCATGCTTTACTCTATCTGTGTCCACTTACATCTCTGGCCACTCTTGTCTCCTCTGTGGGCTCACTTTGACTGCTCCTTAATATATTCCCCAAGGTTTGCACTGGCACCCTGGGTAATACCAGTAACTCCCATGGCTTCAGTTACCACCTATAAGCTGACAGCAATGAAACCTCTCTAACCTAGTTGTCTCCTGAGTGGACAGGCCCTCTTCGTTAACATTTCCCATAAACACATCAAATTTAACACATCTAAACCTAACTCATTATATCCACCTTTTTCAACGTTTGTTTCTTCTCTATTCAAAAACGTCAGTGAGCACTGTATCTTCTGTTAATCAATCTACCATGTAGCACTCCCACTAAGGAAGGCTTCCTGGAGGAAGTGATGTCTGCCTCCTGCATTTGGTGCTCCTTGGGACGTTAACTTTCTACTTACCATATAATTCCTAGTGTCACGTCTCCTCTACTAGACTATATATAAGCTTTGCAAGACGATCTCGTTATATGGCTTTCTATACAAGTCCTAGCACAGTGCAGGCATTAAATGTGAATACTAATACATTCTTTACGTCCAGTGCTTAACACATCTGAATATATTCTTCTGGATGCAAGGAATGTATTCGTTTCCTACCTGGAGGTTCTATCCAGACCCACCTTAAGAACAAAAATTGTGAAGGTAATTGCTTGTTTTTGTTGTGTGGCCACACAGCACCTGTCCTCAGGAGTCCTCATTACGGTTGCTCATCAATTATCTACTCAAAGCTATGTATGAGCCAGATGGGGACTAGAATAATTAATAGGTGAAAGAGGACATCATTTAAAAATTTTTGTCTGGACCTAGAATCATAAGCTGCCTCAGCTGGTGAGGAAATAGGTGGGCGGGTGGCCGCCTTAACTTCCAAATGTGACACGATGTTACTGAGCCATTTTCTCCTGAAAGGGCTTTGCAACCCTTGGTCGTTTCACAAACAGGGTTGCATGAGTCCAGGCGTTGGACGGAAGCGAGCAGTGAATTACCACAGCAGATTTGCCACAGCTGGAGTTCATGGGGTGCTCCTTAATAGAGGTGGCTTGACTCTCCCATGGAAGGTACCGTTCAAAGGTAATGACATTACTCAGGGTTGAAAGCAGCATTAATTATAGTCATGGGATTAAGTGAACTCCCAAGAAAGTGTCATAGAGCAGAGCAGTAGGCAATGACTAGGTGAGGAGTCAAGCTGCTATTAATGAGAAATAAGGTACATTTGAGAGAAAATTGTCAGAAAGAATGGCTTTGAATTATATTTGCATAATAGTGTCCCAGAAACTAATTAGTCAGTTCCATCAAATACAGCTGAGAGGCCAAGAGAACATCTAGTGAGCCCTATTAACAAGCACCTTTACATTTTTGTTCTCATTTTAATCTTCCCAGCGAATAGTATCCACTGAACCTTATATGAAGAGAGATGGTGACTGGTACATCCTCCAATGCCATACCTTTGAGAAATATTCCTTTTGTTCACAAACTGATAGCGTTTCCTTCAAGGGCCACGTTAACCACTTCTAAGAGACTAAACCCTCTTACCTTAGCCAGCATCTTTAACTACAAATCTTTATAATTTGCATTTTTTCCATCATTGCATTACCATTTCGCGATTGTCTCCAACACGTATGTATTTGCCTCAGCAACCCGGACTGCCATGACGTGTCATCCTCAGAAGCTCAGGTAACATTTCTTCCTCTCGATCAAGAGGATGAAGGGGGCATAATGATAGTGTCACATCCGGCCTCTTGGAATCAGACGTGGTTCGGCTGCTGGCTTTAATGACAGCACCACAGAGGGCAGCTCCAACACTTGTTGTCATCACGTTGGTAGTTACTTCACCCTTTTAAGCCCATTTCCTATTGTGTAAATGGGGATAACGTGCCTATCTCATGGGGTGAGAGTGAAAATAATGCATATAAAATACCTGTCAGTTTCTGGCATGTAAGTACTCAACAGATGTCAAAAAAAGCGTTAAGGCATTTTTTACTACCCATCAGCTCTCTGGAATAAAGCTAAAGTAGAAACTTTGAAACTTTTACTATATCTTGGTCTCTATCCAAGTTGACTACCCTTAATAATGAATCTTCTTTGGCAGTACTCATCAAGTGTTTGCCAAATTCTGGGTTTCTCTTGTTTCCAGGAGTCATCTAAAGAATGCTTCACACTCCCACTTGTCCTACTTAAGGAGATGTAATACACTTTTAACAGGCAGGAAACAGGCAGCTTTCACTTCCACATCAAAGGTATCACAAACCCATTTAAAGCTACCGCCTTTTCTCTTTCAGTGGAAACTATCCAAACAACAAACTTGCATTTGGAGTTTGACCAAGGAGGATGGTCTGTCACCAGGGCTGGACTTCGCAATGAGACAACAGTAATGGCTCACATTTACTGAGCAGTCAGTCACTGAGCTTGGCACTGTGGTAAACACTTCACATTAACTCATTTAATGCTCCTTACAGGGAAAAACTAAGCCCCAGAGAGATTAAGTAGTTTGCCCAAGTCATGAAGCAGGTAAGTTAAGGCCAGGTTTCAAACCCATTAGTTCTAGAGGCCACTCTTTCA